TACTGTGCTAACTTCCTCCTTCACAGCACGAGGCGGCTCTATTCCCCTCTCTAACATGTGTTCAATCACATTGAAGCCAGTGATTGGCTCCTCTGCCACCCTATCTTCCTGAGCTACTAATACTGGTACTAGAAGCTCTGACTGCGGAGCCTCTTCTGTGGGTAACCTGAATGTGATTTCAGCCCACCCAGCAAATAGCCAATGATAGAGCTCAATCATCCTTGTAGTGTCTGTTCAGTGTGGTATGAAGCTGTGCCAGGGTGAGGTCTGTTTTAATCACTAACATCTTGCAAAGACTTAGGCCTGACGACGGCTTCAGTAATTCCAGCTTCACTGTGATTCGTTTTAAGTCCAGTTTCGATTTGGTGAATCAGGTTGGAGTCTGACAGTTTGTCTTTCTTACACCAATTCTGAATCGACTGTGTGTGACTGTGTGAACTGTGTGACTGTGTGTAGTCACTTCAGTGAGCTGTGTTGGTGCCGGTAGAGCAGGTAACTCTGTGCCTAGACCCAGAATGAGTTCTTGGGATTGTTTCTCTTGGTCTTGCCATTTCTTCCTCTAACTCTTTTGTCGAGGTTTGAAAACTCAACTGCGAGCTGCATGTTGTTCTTGTAGGTTGGCCAATGCAACAACATCCTCAATGACACTGTCTTTCCTGTGCAGTATCATCTCTTTCTTTAACCTCTTAAGCAGTTTTCACGGCGGAGGAGAGGAAAAAGAGCAGGTGTCCAGGTAAAACTCAGACTGTTCTGGAAGCGGGGACTAACTGTGCCTGGATCTATGAGACGGCGCTACCTCAGGAGTGTTCATCCAGACTCTCCTGTTGTTTGGCCTTCCAACCCCTCGGTGAGTGGAATTTATGAACGTCGCGGATCAAACTCAGTTTCTTCGTCCCCTAAATCGGGCCGCTTCTGTTAATAATATGTCTTCTACTTTGCTGAGAGTGGCGCTTTTTAACGCTCGATCAATGACTAATAAAACATTCCTGCTGAACGATTTTATTCTTTCCAAGAAACTGGACTTCTTATTTCTAACCGAAACCTGGCAGCGCGATGGTGACTTTTCATCCTTCATTGAACTCTGTCTGAGTGGGTACTCATTCATCAGCCAGCCTCGGACGTCGGGTCGAGGAGGAGGTGTCGCTGCGGTGTTTGGAAGCCGGTTTTACTGTCGCGCAGTGTTGGTCGGACATTTTTCATCCTTTGAACTACAGCTGGTTAGAATTGGAAATAAAGATCCATTTTACTGCGCTGTAGTGTATCGTCCACCTGGCCTAAACACTATGTTTTTAAAGGAGTTCAGTGACTTTTTATCTCGACTTTGAAGCTGTCCAGACTGGTTATAGTCGTGGATTTTAATATACACGTTGATGATGACTCCGACCTCTTTGCCAGAGGGTTCCTTAGCGTCATGGATTCTTTTCATTTTACTCAGCATGTGTCTGGTCCCACACACACCAAAGGACACACACTGGACCTGGTTTTTACTTTAGGTTTAAACATTGATTTTATTTGTACTGAGAACATTTTTATTTCGGATCATCATTGTATTCTTTTTAATCTATCTTTTCATTTGTCCCTCGCTCCTATTCGACATGTGGTTAGCTCTCGCATCTTAACTTCCTCTACTGCTGTTAAATTTTCCGATGCTT